AGAGAGAGAGAGAGAGAGAGAGAGAGAGAGAGAGAGAGAGAGAGAGAGAGAGAGAGAGAAACTGGTGGACTTGTGATTGGGAGGCTCGGACAACGTCGATAACTAGCCACGTGTCGACAATCAGCCCGAGAGACGGGAGGGTGGAGAGGCTGACGAGGGCATGGGTTCGTCTTGACCGGTCTCTTATTCTGGCTTTAGATTGCTGGGCTGAACACTGGTCGACTTCTTCTTCTTCTTTCTTCTTTTTCTCGATTTATGCCTGTCATCCTTGCGTAGGGGTCATTTGCTAATTACCCTTCTTTGTATCGTTTCGTTCCAATTTTAACGGATGTCCGGAAGGACTTCTTCTTCCTTCTTTTCAGAAGCATGTAAGTGGAGTGAGTCGAACGAGAGTTGCAAAGCACATCGACGACGGAGGTAGCAGCAGGGAGAGGGCGGTGGAGAGAGGGAGGACTTCCATGAGCACGGCCGTGACTCCTAGCGGTTTGAGTCATCAAGGCGGCACGTATTGGGACTGCGAAACCCCGCTCGGTATGCCGAGGTGCCGCTTGGCTTTCAGCTGACCGATCGGATCAGAAAGCGGCCGCACCCGCACCCGCACCCGCACCCGCACATGTACCAGGCGCATAGAGGCGCGGAGCGCGCAAGCGGGGCCCGACGGCTTGGCGATTGGCGATTGGCATGAGGCTGTGGAAGAGGGAGGGAGGTCGGGGATCTGATAGTCGGGGGGGAGGGTAAACAAAGGGTGTGTGTCTGACACGCACACGCGCCCGCACACGTACCCGCACCCGCACCCGCACTCGCACATGTACCAGGCGCATAGAGGCGCGGAGCGCGCAAGCGGGGCCCGACGGCTTGGCGATTGGCGATTGGCATGAGGCTGTGGAAGAGGGAGGTAGGGGATCTGATAATCGGGTGTGGGGGGTAAACAAAGGGTGTGTGTCTGACGTGGGTGGGTCTGGATTCCGTGGGTGGGCATCAGGAGAGCAGCCTTGGCCGTGGCAAGCTCTCCCTGGCAAAAGGCGCAGGATTGCACACTCACGTGGCTAGGGAGAGCTTACGTGGGCACTGATAAAAGAGGAGAACGGAGTCACTGTGTTGATGATTTTCGTGCTTTCGGTGGGCATCGGGTGTACTAAATTAGGCGGAGTGTCGATGATTTGCCGCTCACAGTTCGAAACTTGGCGGTGGGCATCGGGTGTAAAATAGGCGGGGTGTTGATGATTTCCCGCTGTACAGAATCTATCGGCGGCGTGTCGGACGACAGGAAGGAGAGATAAAAGTTGATGGACTTGGGGGGGTCCTTGCTGCTTTCCTGGGTGCCGTCAAATCTCGATAGCGGTTCGTGTGACGTCGTTGCTGCTTCTCTGGGTGCCGTCGATTTTGTTGACACTCCGTCGACGCGCTGTGGATCCGACGGCGAGTGAGATGTCCTGGAGGGTGGAGGGAACGGGAGGGAAAGCGGACGGGCATTTGGAGGAATAGCTGTCGTGCACGTGAGCAAGGGGCTTGTGGAATCGGAATGTGGTAGAGGTGATCGCGCTTTTATTCGACAGTGGTTGGCCGTGAAGAGCCAAAAAAATGTGGATGGAGACTAGAGGAAGACGGTGAAAGGGAAAAGTAGGGAAGGAGGTTAATCTATTGTGTGTGTGTGTGTGTGTGTGTGTGTGTGTGTGTGTGTGTGTGTGTGTGTGTGTGTGTGTGTG